CATGTGTAAGCATTGCATTAGCTGTTTTTATCGTAGGACGTTTGAATTCAAATATGCCCCATTTGAAAAAAGCATTCAGATTCAGGGCATTGAAGTAATTGGGATGTAAGCACATATTTAAAGTTCAGTTCACATGTGCTTCAATACTATTCTGAACAGGAATGGATTTAAGGATGTGTTCAAGAGCTTTCCTGAATCAGGGCCATGCTGAAGAAGCAAAGCTTAATTTGAATGCAGCCTTAGAGTGGTGCAGGTAGTCCAGCTGTGCCATCTTGCAAGCTGTCACTCACCAGTTGCTGTGGAACAGACTAGCTGGCCCGTGAGGTGCAGCAATAGGCAAAGATGTTTAAACTTTGCATGGGTTTACCCCTTTTGGAGGATAGATACATCTTCAGAGTTAGGTGCCACGGTGCCAAGCACCTTAAAAACATCTAAGATAGATAGACATCACCTTAGTCACTGTTGAGAGCTGGTGCTGGACTGAGAAGGGAACCAGATCAATATGTTGTCAGTGGGAGCAGTGTGACAGACTAACCTAATACTGGATACCTTGTAAATATATAATATATATTAATATATAATGTTTCAGATTAACCTAATACTAGGTACCTTGTAAATATATTGCATACAGTTTCTTTCAGTTCAGACATATACATGAATACACCAAATTACCAGAGCCAACAGTATTCCTAAGAAAAGCTAAAGCTAAGGGGGAAATGTGTTTCTCATCCACAAAAACGTTTGTGTTTTCAAAACATTTTTCCATTCTACATTGGGACAAAATCAGGACTTGTCAAAGTTTTGTTTTTTTGGGTTTTTTTGTGGGGGAGGGAGGGGATTGGAGGACAGACAGACACATATACACACACACCAGAATAGCCAATAGCCTGGTGGTTAGGGATGGGAGAGTGAGGTTCAAGTCCCTACTCTGCCTGATTCAGAGCAGGGACTTGAATCTGGTTCTCCCAGATGGGTTCCCTAACCACCTGGCTATTGGCTATTCTGGCCTGGCTCTCTGGTTTTGACCAGAAAATTCCATCCTGGACCCAAGAAACCTTTCTCAACAAAAGTTTAGACAAAACTGGCATGTTCCTGTGAAAGATTTCAGTTTCAGCAACCTGGCATTTTCCAACAAAAAATATTAATGTCAAAAAAATTTCCAACCAGCTTAAGGGTCTTTCGTTCCTAACCGTCTTTACAGCTTCTGACTTTCTAGAGAATCAACTCATGTAGAAATCTACTCAGCATCATGGCTACCAGCTGTAGGCTCATTTTTGTCTTAAAGCTCTTCCTGCTTTGTTTCCATTAGGTGAAGTTACAGGAAAGGTTCAGGAATTTTTTAAAAAGAAGCAATATTCTCTACTGCACAGTCATTATAACACCCCAGAGGAGGAAGAAATAAATGGCAAATATGTCCACCTTTCATGAAATGTCAACTGTAAGCCCCAACTGCCCTGGACATAATGCATGTTTTCCCACAGGTCTAAGAGTCCCTGGGAGGGCTTCAAAATGGGGGCAATCCACAAAAGAAATTTGAGATTCAGGAGGAAGACTCAAGTAGGACAAAGGAGTGGCAACCCTCACCCCCCAAAATAGAGTTATTCAAATGAACAGTAATGATATCAACACTTTTGAGTATCTGCTTTCAGTTTTTTTCAGAGCTGATTTTGCAGATATAATAAATATAAATATTGCTTCCAGAAAGCATAGGACTGGGTTGTTTCAGTTCCTGGGATGGATAAACTGAAATTGCATTTTCCCTCCTTTGGGACTGGATTTATTTATAACTTTCTGAGCTATTCATGCATATAAAATTTTGCTGTTATTTTCTGTGAAAGAATTTTCCTCCTTTCCTTTTATTGGCCCCATTTCTTTCACATACAAAGCCACAGATGCTCCATTACAATGATGTCAGCCTTGCTACATGCTCCAGCTGTTTAGGTGCATTTATAAAGTTCAGCCCTGTACATTATGCCATAAATGTATATTTCGTGTATAAACATAAAGCTAACATATTGCAGATCTCTCTAAGTGTAACTTTAATGGAGGTTCAGTGAGTTTTAAAAATATTGAAAAGTGTTTAATCTTTCCTTTGGCAATATTTTTATGGCAGGTTTTCCAATTATTCTTTTCTCAAGCTAGGTTCAAAGATTTTTCCCCCCCCTTGTATTTCATCTTCTGTGATTTTTGGAAAAGCAGGGAGGTTTTTTTAGTAAGACAATATGTATTTTAAATAGAGACGTCTGAGTGAAAATATGCTTCTGTCCACATCTACTCATGTCCAAGCCCTCATTACCTTCATGCGCGCTCACCAGTTCACCATGCCGAAAAACCTCATTTCTGGATGTGCCAGCTTTCAAAGATGTTACATGTCACAAGATGTTGTTACATTGACTTGATGTATAAATATTGACATGGGTAAAGTAAATCTGGGTCCAAATTATAAGGGTCTTGTCTTGTGTCCAGGATTTCAGAATAAGGGGTGAATTGTGCCCACTAGACACAGTCTTGAGTAGGGTCATTATGATGCAGCCCCACCCCTATTGCCTCAGATTGTCTTGCAGTGTGCAATTTGTTCCATCCTGTAAACCACAGGCTCTGGCTCCTCCCCTCCCCCTGTGGAGGTGCACGAAGGGTCAAATCTAATTCCCATTGAAATCATTAGACTCCTTTTGGCTCCAGTGGGAGTTGACTCATGCTGAGAAGGAGCATTCACTGCACTCCCTTGAGTGTAGTGTTTCTTATATTTATTAGCAGTGTTGCTTTTTTCTTATGTCTGAATTTCATGTATATCTTGTTGTCATAATTTAACCGAGGTGCTGCATATACAGTAAGTTTTCTAGTAGATTACCAAATACACCTCCTGACTCATAAATATTTGAGGCATAATCTTGGTTCCACTGGCTTGGCAATATAATGACTCTCAGCAGGACAAGATGTCTGCTAACTGGGATCCTGTTCCTTAATTCATGCTGTTTAATACAAGATCAGTGGTGAATAAAACCACCCATAATTTGATGACCGTGCAGTCCCTGACTTTGAATGTATATTGGCAGACTTTGCTTAGCACAGTAATTATGCAGGATCCTGGGCAGTTAGTATCGACTTGATGTATCCTCATAGTAAATATATAAGCCGTGATTCAATGTGGAGCAAAAATTCAAGAACATAAAATAAATTCACAAATTATATTGTGCCTGACTAACCTAATTGCCTTCTATGATGAGATAACTGGCTCTGTGGATGAGGGGAAAGCAGTGGATGTGTTATTCCTTGACTTTAGCAAAGCTTTTGATACGGTCTCCCACAGTATTCTTGCCGCCAAGTTAAAGAAGTATGGGCTGGATGAATGGACTGTAAGGTTGATAGAAAGCTGGCTAGATCGTCGGGCTCAACGGGTAGTGATCAATGGCTCCATGTCTAGTTGGCAGCCGGTTTCAAGCAGAGTGCCCCAAGGGTCGGTCCTGGGGCCGGTTTTGTTTAATATCTTTATTAATGATATTAATAGGATGGTGTGGACTGCACTCTCAGCAAGTTTGCAGATGACACTAAACTGGGAGGCGTGGTAGATACACTAGAGGGTAGGGATCGGATACAGAGGGACCTAGACAAATTAGAGGATTGGGCCAAAAAAAACCTGATGAGGTTCAACAAGGACAAGTGCAGAGTCCTGCACTTAGGACGGAAGAATCCCATGCACTGCTACAGACTAGGGACCGAATGGCTAGGTAGCAGTTCTGCAGAAAAGGACCTAGGGGTCACAGTGGACGAGAAGCTGGATATGAGTCAATAGTGTGCTCTTGTTGCCAAGAAGGCTAACGGCATTTTGGGCTGTATAAGTAGGGGCATTGCTAGCAGATCGAGGAACGTGATCATTCCCCTTTATTCGACATTGGTGAGGCCTCATCTGGAGTACTGTGTCCAGTTTTGGGCCCCACACTACAAGAAGGATGTGGAAAAATTGGAAAGAGTCCAGCGGAGGACAACAAAAATGATTACGGGTCTGGAGCACATGACTTATGAGGAGAGGCTGAGGGAACTGGGACTGTTTAGTCTCCAGAAGAGAAGAATGAGGGGGGATTTGATAGCTGCTTTCAACTACCTGAGGGGGGGTTCCAAAGAGGATGGGGCTCGGCTGTTCTCAGTGGTGGCAGATCACAGAACAAGGAGCAATGGTCTCAAGTTGCAGTGGGGGAGGTCTAGGTTGGATATTAGGAAACACTATTTCACTAGGAGGGTGGTGAAGCACTGGAATGCGTTACCTAGGGAGGTGGTGGAGTCTCCTTCCTTGGAGGTTTTTAAGGCCCGGCTTGACAAAGCCCTGGCTGGGATGATTTAGTTGGGAATTGGTCCTGCTTTGAGCAGGGGGTTGGACTAGATGACCTCCTGAGGTCCCTTCCAACCCTGATATTCTATGATTCTATGATTCTATACACGTGACCTTAGGAGTAGATGATGGGCATGAGCACAAATCCAATTGCTGTGCTCTCAGGCCATCCCTACTGATCCATTTTGTACCAGCCTATTCAGTACTGAGGCAGAGCCCCCTATGTAGGGGCAGTGCTTAGTTTGTAATGAAAGACATGCTCGGCCTCAAGCAATTAGGTGCCAGGAATCAAACAATATGTTTACATTCAGAACTCATGCACCTGAAGTGCTGGGGCTATGAACTGCCAAGCCTAGGGAAGCCCTGGCACAAATTAAGCTTTGTGTAGGGGACCTTCTATGCAGCTGCTCCCCCCAGTGTACATACCTTAGAAGGGCACCACAGAGTTTACAAAGTGAGGAGAGCCTTGCACAAGCCTCTCTGTATGTGAATGATTTTCACTAACAGTTATATTTATTGATCTGCACATGTTGTTTATTATTATTATTATTATTTAAGTATTTATTTGTTTTATTGACATATTAAAATACACTTACCAAAAGCCTGTTGCTAAGAAACATGGACACGTACAATAGAAAATGTTACCATTAATTACTGGCTCTTACATTTACAGGTCCTTTGTCATCCAGCAAATCCCAAGCAGCAATCTCTTCATGGTGGTAGTAGATAATGAATGCAACTGTGAGTCTATCTTGCCAATTACCATGGAACCCATAGAAATAAGGTATATCCTTTATTTTGAAGATTGTAAGAGGGAGACTCAAAGTGCAAATATTGAATGTTACCCTGTGTGATTTAGGAGCCTAACAGACAGATCCTCAGCTGTTGTAGATTGTCATGGCCCCATTGAAGTCAAGGCAGCTGAGGATCTGCTCCTTAGTCTCATTTTCCAAAGTAACTTATGCATTTAAGAGCCTAAGTCCCATTGAAAGTCAATGAGAGTTGTGCACCTAACTCACTTAAGTGCTTTTGTAAGGCATCTACATGCATATTTAGGCACATAAACGTCTTTGTAAATCTGGTCTTAAGTCACTTCTGAAAATAGGACATAGCCTCCTAAATCTTTGGTGGTTTTGAAAATTGCACCCATATTGCCAAAGATAACATTTTAAACCTGGATAACTCCTTTATTGTAATGTAATATATAATCTCTTCCTTAACTTTGAATTTTAGGGCTGGATTGCTACACTGAAAGGTATCACTTTGTGTTCTGAAAATATAAAAGATAGATTCTGTAACAAAGTAAATTGACAACTTAATTTGTAGTCTAAACATCATCTTGTTTTATTGCCATACAGGAGGTTGGGGTTTGTTTCTTCTCATAAATAGGAATTCACCGAAAAGAATCTGCAGTATATTTTTATTGCTGAGTGATAGACCTTTCGGTCATGTTAAGTGCCGATGGGAACAACATTGGGAAGAACAGCAATAGAATTATGTCCCACTTCTTTTGTTGATTGGTTGGATTTTGGAGGAGTGGGAGGAGGAAGGGATGGATGGATGAACTTCATTTCAAATCCATTCAAACTTTGAATATTTAAATGCAGTGATCATAAGATCTCTCCTTAACTACTGTGAACATAATGAATCCCTTAAATGCGAACGTTTAAAATCTCAGAAGATTAGAAGACGTCCAGAATCTTGTCATGGATTTCATCCTGAAGTAAGTTTTTATACTGCTTTTTTTCCCTCTTTGGTAAATATTTTTTCTAGAGTAGATACAGACGCTCCCCGACTTACGCAAGTGTTCCATTCTGGAATGCCTTGTGTAAATCGAATTTTGCGTAAGTCGGGAACATATACCCGACAATTATGCCAAAAAAAAAAAAAAAGATTCTGGAACTTTTTGTGTAAGTGCGGATTTTCGTAAATCGGGTTTGCATAACCCAGGGAGCGTCTGTATTAGAAAACTCTCTTCTAGTGTGAAAAGCAACAAAATATTTTGGACATTCTGAACATAGTAGTAAAGGGAAGTTGCTGCATGATTGCAAGCAATGCAGAAATTGTCGAGTGAGCTTGTACTCCATTTCACGATTAAGTGCTGTTTTCGCACATCACGGCACAACATGTAAGAGGCAGAGGCATGATCTGAGTGCAGAATTGGCAGTCAGGAACTTCTGAGATCTTATTCTGGGTCTAATACTGATTCCTTCCATGATTCCTTCCTGATTCCTTTCTGAAACCAAGCTAATTGGCCATGGGACAGGATTTGATCTCTACATGAGTAAATAACGTCAGCATTTCAATTGTCCTACTGGTAATTTTGTGATATGTTGATTTGTTTAGCTGGGACTCCGACACAATGCTTTTAAGATGTAATGCTCTACACAAGTGCTACATACTTTATGAGCTTAAATATCCACTCTGCTGAGGCACAAAGAGAAAGTGACTTGCCCAAGGTCACCCAGAGCCAAGAATAGCTTCCTGATCATCTTTATTTTTCTGTGCTTTGATTACACAAATTTTGTTTTATTGAATCTGCCGTCTACTGCATATGTGCTTTAATAAATATCCATGCATTGCCATGAATCTTAATGTTTTTGTCTTAATTCTTCTTTGTTCTTTTCTTTAGGAGAATGCAAGAGAATGTGGGGGTGTTCTAGGCCTTAGTGCTAAACCTACTCTTGTTCTTCTTCCACTGCTTTTGGTAATTTTCTCAAGGTGACGTTGACTGATGTGTTCACTTGGCATGCTAAATACATGGATAAACTGTGAACTGAGAAATGGTGCAACATAGAAGACAAGAAATATAGTCAAAACATCAGCATTTCATGATTTTAAACTGTTGATGAGATAAACTTAAAGATATGTTGAAAAAGATTTATCTTTTTACTTTGCAAGTCATGCAAATGTGAATTTGCCATATGATAGTCACAATTCATCAAAAAAGGACTTTAATAGATATACACAAGTGTCCATTACTTTCTGCTTTGTCCCATTGAAACCAATTTAAAACTGTGTACTTTTTAAATAAAGTATATTAAAATCATAATTTCATTGTGTATTTTTTTAAATATAGCAACTAAACATTTTTCCTGAACTAGTAATTGGAACATAATAAAACAGGTAAGGGGAGATTTCACATGTGTAGGCTTTGTTAAACTATTTCTGAGATAATGGGAAGCTAGAGGATAACACATACCTAATTTTTTATAATAAAGGCTGAGTGACTTATATTAATAACCAAGTCAATGGAACGTAAGCAAGTCCTTCAAGTTGTGCATGTGCTTCAGTTATTTTGCTGAACTGTGACACAGATAATGTTCTCTGATGATTTACAGTGAAACTGGAGCTTTTTTAACACAGCTGTAAAGAAAATCCTACGACATTTAGAGTATGAGCTGAAGCCCACTGAAATCTTTCTAATAACGTCCACAGGTTTTGAATCTGGTTCTTTAGTAATTATGTCTCGCAAGTGGCAGAATTCAATCATTAACACTTTTTAAAAGATAAGGAGATGTCTCACATTTACAAATGTAATTGACATAAAAGAGGAGATGATGATGATGATGATGATGATGATATGTTAGCACTTACATTCTGCTCCTCAGCTTCAAAATGCTTTTTTACATATATTAACTGTGAAATAGTTAGGTCAAGTTCCCTATGGTGAAATGGAGAGACAGAGAAGTTGTGACGTGCCCAAGTCACACAGTGAGTCAGGAGCACAGCGAGTCAGGATTCCTTTGTTCTAGTGCCTTGTTTATTCCCCAGTCAGGATCACACTACCTCACACCCAGGGCCGGCTCCAGGGTTTTGGCCGCCCCAAGCAGCCAAAAAAAAAAAAAAAATAGCCGCGATCGCGATCTGCGGCGGCAATTCGGCGGAAGGTCCTTCGCTCCGAGCAGGAGTGAGGGACCGTCCGCCGAATTGCCGCCGAATAGCTGGACCTGCCGCCCCTCTCGGAGTGGCTGCCCCAAGCACCTGCTTGCCAAGCTGATGCCTGGAGCCGGCCCTGCTCACACCTATAACTGGAAATCAGATTGAGAAAAAAAAAGTTACCCAAGACTTAGATATCTTTGCATGCCTTACTTAGAAACATGCAGGGCCGGATTTCCAATTAGGAACAGTAGGCACAGCCTAGGGTGGCCTTGTCTCTCTAAAACTGTTTACAACACGAAGGTCAGCTGTAGGCAGGTGGGGGGTGTGTGTGTGTGAGTGTGTACTGAAGATGCTGTGCCTAGGGGCGTGTAAGGTGTAAATCCGGCCCTGAAAACATATTGTAACTATTCAGATTGATTCTTCATTCAGGAGCTGGATCCCAGAGTAAATGCTGCCTAATATGATGAGACCACAATCAACATGTTAAAAATTTGTATCATTTGGTAGCAGACGGAGGCTGACAGTGAGTACAGTTAAAAAAAGGTTTAGAGTTTTTTCTAGACAAAAAGAGATGCTTATAAATCCCTGAAGTATTGGCACCTTGCCCCTTTCAATTTACTAGTAATGTTTTGATTGTAAATATGATGGCTGAGGAGCTTGATCTTGGAAAGACAAGAACAGGAATCCAAAGCATGATTGGTCTTTGGAGCGTTCTGTATAAATGCAAGGAATCCTATCAAGGAAATAACATCATTAAAACTTGACCAGTAAAAATACACTATATTAGCTTTAAGATTAAATACTATGGTTCTAAATCTGGTGAGAGAGTTTTCCCACTAGGAAGTAAAAGAAAGCCATCTTCCCTTTGAACAAATATTGAATGAAATGTCTGTCTCTCATGATAAGAACAGAGAGGCTGTGTATGCTAGAAAAGAGTTGTCTCTCAAATGATACAACCAAGCCAACGGCTCAAAAAACAAAACTTTTACTTGGTTGTGGTTAGTTACTATTAATGTGTTAAGAACTAAAATGCAATTTGGAGTATGGGTGTGAAAAAATCCCCAGTTCAGACAGTTTTCCTGTAAGTGGAAAGGGAGGCAGGAATCTTTCTAATTAATTATTTTGAATGTAATCCTAGCTGATGCTAGAAATGGCTTTTGCTGTTATAAAGAAAAGATCTTTTTAAGAAATGAACTAAATGAGCAAACTGATTTCCTGCTGAACCACGGTGAACACTCCTAATAATAATTCATTGTTAATTATGTAAAGTAGCAGACTAGTTTCATATTCAGGAAAGCACTGAAGGAATAAGAAAGATTAAAATATGGGCATGTTAAATGAATATTGCTCAGAAGAACGAGACAGCTCATTTTATTTCTCTACTGAGTTAGTCACAATTATAAAGATCTAATTCATTAATGTGTATCAAACCAATTACTATGCAGAACAGCATAGTCCAAAGAAAAGAACTGCTGCGTGTAATGTGATGTTTCATCCAAGATGCCTGCTAGTGAAGACATTTTTAAAGTGTTGAGTAAGTTCCTTTAGAACTTAGTTGTTTTTTGGTGTGGGGTTTATCTAATTCTACTATCTACTGGTTTGGCAGTGCAGTTTCTCATTCCTGTCTTCAGACTTAAGGTTCCCTAACTGATTATATTCCTTATATTCAACTGAAATTTAGATTTATAAAATGCTGTATAGGAACTTATTCTCTATTCTAGGCATCATTCATGGGAGCATGGCACAGCTGAGAGGCAGATTGCTAATATACTGTGTGGTCCTTAACTGCATGAATCCATTGGCCCTAAAACCTTAAGTAGACATTCGGAGATGCTAAATAGGAGCTGGACTGCAACCCGATAACATGTTGCAGATGACAAAGGATGGAAGTAATTCCATCTTCCCACCAGTCCTTTGTTACTGCCCCCCACATCAGCCTTGTGAAGGAGTAAATTTCACCTATGCTGAAAAAAAGGGTCAATCCTTCAGCAGTGCCAGTCTCAGCATGCCCTATTGCTGTCAATGGGATGAACACTAGAAAATATTATGCCATCTTCTAAAAGACACTGTGATATTATGATGGTGGATGCTGTATGAACAACTGGATGGATGGATGGATAAAATCCAGTGTATAAACATTGATCTTCATGCAACTTGGAGTACCTGAAAAATCATACAAAACCTGATCCAACCCCCAGTTAAGTCAATAGAAAGAAATATGTGTACGTACATTAATATATACAGATGCAAACCAAGAAACTGTATATATATTTAATAAACAAGAAACTCAGATATAAATCTACATTTTTATCATCCTGAATCCTGAGGCTAGATCCAAATACAACCATAATAATATCACTATATGTTTCTACACAGTAATAGGCATAGCTGCAGGAGTCTGCTGCTGCTATTTTTCTTGGTAATGGCATTGATTTCAGACTTGTTAACCTCAGCTGCCTATTTTTCCTTTAATCTTGGTACAGAGAAAACTACTTTGGTGCTCAGGACCAGACTTGGATGCACCATTTTCTAATAACTTGTGTGGGAAAATAGTCTGCTTGTAGTTGTCACTGCTGCAAACACTCCTTTAAAACTGTATAAGCCATAGCCCGAGGGGGATTCTGCAGCTGTGCCATCTCCTCTCGTTGTTTCTGTAACACTGAGACAGCCCAACCCACTGCCAGGGCCAATTCTGCTATATATATGTTAGGCAAAACAGGTGGTTGCCTAGGGCAGGAAGATATTAAAGGCTGCAATGATTGTTTCATTGTGTAAGTGGCTACAAGGGACACTTCTGTATTCGGCTGGTAGTGAAATCACTAGAACAAGGCACTGGCCTTTTGAGCCCTTTGGTTTCAGAAGACAAGGTGGAAGCTTGTGTTACAGGGCTTGGGTGGAAACAGTTCTAGTTGTTTCCTTTTCTCTCTTAAGTCCTTTAGGGTCTCCCTTGGCCATTTATACTTTGCCCTTTTCTGTCCCTTAGAAATGGGAACCATGGGAATTGCATGAGCCTTGGCTCCATTGTCCACTCATTCTCCCTTAAGAAAGACACATACAAAACAACTATTTTGAAAGCTTCCCCCCCAAAAGAAAAATTACAAAGAACCTCCACCGAACTCTGTGAAAATATTAGGTGGTTGACCTTAATTTTTCCTGCTTAATTACATTGTTTCCTAAACCTTCCTCCCAAGACACTGTTTGAGCACCACCTTTGTCCTAGTTTTTACCAATGGGTCTGACTGTTCCTGGCCATGCTGGTAAAATTCAGGTCACAAATTGGGAATTATTCTTTGACTTTTAGCTGCTCATTCTTTGCTGTGCTTATACTTGTTATTTTGGGGCAGTGACATTAACTTATTCTAGTGGAAATGAATATTTTCCTTAGGTGAAAATTAATTGAACTTTCACCTATGGAAGTTGCTGGGATTTTCTAATACCCACAAAACTGCTGACAAGTCAAATATTCATACAGCAGTAATAGCAAAGTTACAACTAGGCACCCTCATCAAATGGGTGACTCTTCAGTGGTTCAAAATTCAGGTGGTATAGTTCAGATAAATACCCGAAAATTCATATACCTTTCTGAGCTATATCTAAATTGTCCACAAAGGCTCTCTCTCCCCAACAAGCCTAACTCCTCTGTATTTTTTACGAGTGAGACCCTGGGAGCCTGTCTTTTCCCAAATCAAGTCTGCTTGGAGGAATCTATAAAGGGCATTTGTGACAATCAAGCAGGGGATCTGAACTCCAAACAGAAGGGGAGAAAACTTTATCTGGGGATACATTTCAGAAGAATCCCATTTCAACAGTTTACTGGACTACAAAAAGAAGGGGTGACAAATGGGACAGTACCTTCTGATTCTGTAAACATTGTACCTCTTGCTTGGAGCGCTGGAGATGCTGGTGGCTTGATGTAAGTGAGAAACCATGTTAGGCAAAAACATAACTTGCTAGAATTAAGTTTTAGGCAATAGAAAGTGTGCTATATTTGTAATCCTTTATGATTGCATTTATTCTTGTTTGGTATCCCTTAAATCTGTGTTTTATTATTTCCTATAAATCATCTCAGTGCTGTGCATTGAGGTAAAGGGTGTGTCCTCAGTGAGCTAACAGGCTG